AACCAGGAACAGACAGTACTCTTAACCTGTTTGCTAAGATACCAGGTATTGGGTACAGAGATCTGTATTTCCTTTTTCCTGTACATATTCTGCAAACACAAAACATAGTTGTGACTCTTTTTTCTGACATCTGGACAGAAAGCACTGCTTTCACATTTTAACTGATGTGCAGTCAAAGCACTCAATTTAAATTCTACATTAAATTCACATAGGAAAGTGAATAAATTTGCATATGAGAATGATGGCACATTTTAAACACCTTGAGAAATTTGCAACAGGTTGAAACTGGGTGTCTGAAATGAAGTACATCTAAGTACCTGTCAAAGGGAAGGAAACAAGGCTTGTTTCACTTTTAAAATAAGACACACCCTTTACTGTATTAATACAAAGCATGAAACAACATGTTTTGGTGGCTTCAACAAACAGTGAAACGATATGAGCAGTTCCTCCAGAAATTCCCAGATGTATGTCACCTTGAAATAAAAAAAACACATATATCCAGGAAAGAAGGGCAGAAATTCCTGGAACTGATGACTTGGGCATATTTACAGTTGGGGAAATAAACAACCCTGAAATCTTAATTTCTCCTATATAGCTGAAGGTAAGGAGTAGCCTGGCCTTAGACCTAGACAATACAAGCTTAGGCAAAGAGGGGGAGTGTTTTTGCGAAATCCCTTCTTCAGTTAAATTAAAAACAATTTATTACTGATTACTTGTTATTTGCTATAACCTTGACTATGGTCAGCAAGAGCCTACAACAAGGTTACACCATGCTTGGCAGGTGATTTACTATGCAACTTGCTGCTGCCAAGGCTTCCTTTCTTTTTACGCTACTGAAGTTCCTCACAAGCAAGACCCTCCATTTGTTGCTAAAGCTACAGGAAAACATACATAAATGAGTATAAATAGAATTTATTGGCATCACTTAATGAAACAGCAATAAGGCAGAGTCCTCCAGACAATGTCTGTAAGAAGCAGAAAATTTTGAAGAGTAATCAACCCTTGAAGCAAGATACATGAATTCAGTGGTTTCTTTCTCACTTCAAAATACAGATTTCCTATTGCTACAGCTCAGAACAAATTATGGCTCTGATCTGACTCGTCTTCCCAATGGTGCTTTCTGGCCTCAAAAACTCAACTACATGGCTCTTGCCTTTACTTACTTTTGGTATCTTGCCAATATACTTTATGGGCTAACATAAAATAACTGCATTAAATAAAAAAACAACAAAAACTTGTACTCTTGCTTTACAAATGCTTCACATTTGGCTGTGCAGCAGACTCCACTGATTGCAAAGACAATGCTTTTGTGTAACCTGGCAAACTGGAAGAATTCCTGCCTCCTGGCATATTTCTCTGTTGCCCTTACATAAAGAAATATCAATAGAATAACTGCTCTCAACTTCTTATTGCTCAGCTTGAGATACCATGGTTAAAAACTTTGGAGGAGATTTCAGACAAAAGGTTTATTTCTGTCCTAAAGCTGGAACATTTTTCTCTATCTGCAAAGCATTTGCATCAGCTTAGAAAGAATGCCTTATTCTGATGTACTGTGTATCATTCAGCAGTGTGTTGTATTACTGAAAACACTTGCAAAGTTAATGTAAACTTCAGTTACTAATTTTTTTAAAATAAAAATAATCTTTCAAAACCTAACTTGGAAGTACTTATCTTTTAATGTTAGTTCTTACCAGATTTTAAGTCTAGATTCTTTACCATCTAAAGGTTGCCTATTTGCATGTTTAACAGTATCTCAAATATGTGTAGTTACAGCATCTCAGATCTGGAATTCCAAGAAAAGTGGTTAGCAGAAAACTTTAAGCCTCAGCTTGAGACTCCCAGAGGTTAATTCTTTTGCTGTTAATAAAGTTTTTTGAACTTACCTTTTGTGGTTTGCTGCCACCAGCTGTCGAACAGGAGCACTCACCAAGATTATCTGGTTTGCATTTTTGTACATCTTGTGTAGGCAAAGGCAATTTCTTGCTTGAGGAAGCCAGATGTGGTCTGGTTCTTAGATTCCAGGTTGTTCTACGTAAAACAGAAGGGCTAACCTTTCCAGTGGGGATATCAGCAAACCCTGAAAAATAAACAACTTCTATTAAAAACAGCTAAGTTATACTTTCGCAAACAGATCTTCTCTTTTTTCACAACAGGGACAAAACTAGCTGATTAAAATACATAATTTGTTCTGCTGAAGAAACTGGATGAAAAAGATTGCTGAACGGTTCTTGTGTGTTCCAAAATTCATACTCAAGCCCTGAAAACAGCAGACAAGGTACAACAGTAATTCAATAGCAAAGTTTTTCAGACAAATGTTTGGTCTTTTTCTTTACAGGTATGTTATTATCTGGAGAATAATTACAGTCTGAAAACATGTACTGGTTTTACTGGAATTCAATCAGAACATAATATTGTGACACGATATTCTTCATTCCTACACAGAACTAGTGTTATAGATTGTCTAACCTCTCTCTATTTAGCCAGTCAAACATTACCTGGCACACATGTCCTCAGAACAGATGTACTTCCAGAAAAATATTAACACTGGCAAGAAAAGGAGATGCAAATAACAGGCAGACTTAGAAATCCTGACTTCTGGGAGTGATCACTGAAGTCGAGGTGATTCAATATCTCTACAGCTTATCCTCTAATGATTGCAATTGCATTTATTATAAAGGGGTATGTAATAGGTAGCTGAACATACAATATATTTTTCAAGCTCCGATTTGTGCAGTCCTCTCAGTTACTTTCTGCTACAGTGAACCCTGGAATATCAGGCTACCTAATTCCATTGCATGCATAGTAAAACGAAACTGAACTCTCATGACGATGCTAATATGTCACTGCTGCAGGCAAGGCAGGGGATTTTAACTGATCTGATGTAATTGCCAATTAACATACTTTTAATTATTGATTCTGGGATTGAAACAAATAAAAGTACACAAATAAGCAAATGCTCGGGGAAAACACCTCGGCTTCCCTCCAGACATCTCTCCTCCCCAGTTTCTGGTCTCCAATCGCCTTGCCACACGCTACACTCAGTCCCTTCAGTGAGGTGACAGGAGTGCAGGAGACTGCGTCATATTCTGCTCCTTGCTTTTAACTCAGTTGCTCAAGCACGGAGGAGCCCACTGGCTGCAGTCCCTTGGGGGTCATACCTCCTCCTCAGTCTCCTCTCAGCCCTCCTTGGGCCGCCCCCCAGCTCCTGCCCCTGCTCAGTCCAACCCCTCAGCCCCATGCCCTGCTCAGTATGATACTTTGGTTCAGCATTACTCCTCTCCCTCCAGCCCCAGCATTGTTTTTCCTTCATCTCAGCATTTACCATCCTTTCTTACTCACATTTTCAGAGGCACGACCAACACCTCTGACTGGTTCCATCCTGGCACAAACTTTTATCCTTTGGAGCCAGCTGGACCGGACCGTATCTGGCACGGGGCAGCCCTGACCTCCTTCCCCAGAACCCCCCTGCAGCCCTCACCACCAGCCACTTGCCAGTCAGACCCCACAGAGCTATTAACCTCTTTGACCTCGTAAGGGACAACACTGAAGGAACTGTGGGACTATGGAGGGAGCAAACATGACTCCATCGCAGCGTGGTACTCTAGCGCTCCAACACTGTGGCCTTTAAGATTAGATTCACTCCCCATCTATTCTCCTGTAAGTTTCAATGAATGGTTCAAATAATGTTTTTAAATGACTAGAGCAAGTCTTCTATCAGCAAAACTTTGTTGCTGTTACATATCACATGCTTGGCCTCTAATACAGGCATCATCAGGAAATACAAAGTTGTGAATGCCGCGACCATTTAACTTTTAGCAGAATGGTAGTTTTTAAGCCAACAGAAATGTATTATGCTGGTCTAACACCACAGCTCCACAAACACTAACCTGGAACATCTCCCGTTGACTATCACCTTCCATCGTTGTCACCAAAAATGTTTGCATAGTCATCTACTCGCCCAGAGTAAAACTAATTCAGGAAAACAAAAGAGAAAAAAACCCCACCTGCTGTGCTCAAACAATGCTTCCCTTTATAAAACACTATAAAACACTATAGAAAATACCTTTTTTCACTACTTCTGGAAGCCCATCCGGCTCATCATCTGTATTCTTCTGACCCAGCAGGTTTTGACAGATATCATCCTTCCTCTTTTTTTTGGATGAAGTCTCCGGCACAGGGGATTTTGGTTCGCCATTATCCTTCCTGTTGTCTTCACATCTCTGCCTTTTACCTGAAAGCTTTGTTGTATCTTTATCTGACCTCATCTGTTTGATAGACTGATTGCTCACTGCTACTGAGTTATCTGAATTCAGCAAAGGAGAGCTGACAGCACTGCTTGTTGGCTGTTTCAGCTGAGCACTCAACAAACTGACTTGTATTTCTAGCATCTCATTGGCTTCCTCTAGTTTATCATATTTAACAAGTAGAGAGCAGTATTTCTCCAAGTTCTCATTTGCTTCTCTAGTTTTCACTTCTATAGGTTCCTGTAATTCTTCCAGTTTTAGCCTAATTTCTTCTGGAATGGCATTCTCATCAGCACCTTTCAAAGCAAAATATTATTATTCATGTAACTGACATGAAAAAGTTACATATAAAATAATGTACAATGCAATGGTCACACAGCTTTTAAGTAATTAGACATGTTCTCTAACTGTGCAACTATAAAAAAGTGACAGTGCATAACAAAATCAGTAATATGTTAGACATAATAATGTATTTGCTAAATAGAGAACAAACATGCAACATTTGAAAAGAATCCTTGACCAGTGCTTGGGCAAACATTTTTCCTGTCATTTTGTAACTTCTGAACACTTGAGTTTGTACCCCTAACTTGAAATATCATTTACAATACAGTGCATCTCATGAGATGTATACATGTATACAATATAACAAAGCAAGCATGAGAATCAGAGGGGAAAGCTTGATGGAAAATGATAAAAGAACTTGCACACAAACTTTAGGTATTAACAAAAACACTCCCTTTCTTCCTATAAGACACTTTTAACCACAAAAAAGTAATATCTAAAACATATATTTGTAATCCAGAGTTGCCTCTGATGCTTTAAAAGAAAGAAGATGAACTAGATTTTGAAAATGTTTGACACATTTGGAGTTATACTTTTTGTACTAGTTAAAAATCATGTTCTGTATTAGACCTGCATATGCAAATGGACATTTTAGGGAAAAATAAAGTTTTACAAACTAATGCACTGCTAAGAAAGCATTAAGATTGAATCTAGATTCAGTTACCTTCTCTCTTTGACATACTTCGATTTTTCTTTTTTAAGAGTTCGTCACGTTCAGCTAGTTGTTTCTGCAGCGTTTCCTTTTCCTGTTCCATCTGCTTACAGGATTTCATCTACAGCTGCACTTTACTTTCGGCTAATTCAGTTTCCTTCTTCAGCTGAACTATAATGTTAATATTTTCAGCCTACAAAATAAGAAATGCAGTTATTACATCAGAAACATAATTCTTCCATTTAAACATTACAATGTCACATGGAAGCTCAACTCTTATGCATTATTAGCTATAGAGCACGGTTGTAATGTACACTTGTTTGCTTGTTTCTGTACAACCTCAGCATAGCAGATCCGTTACTGTAGGAAACAATGAAAGTCTTCTTACTGGACAGGTACATACAGGTGTTTTAACTCAGCAGAAAAACAAGAATTCAAATACCAATAAGGGAGACTTATTTTCTTCAGATACAGCAACAAATTACGAATGTTCAGATTACTGATGTCAAGACTACCACTCTAGCTATAAGAAAGCTGTATGACCTCTGAGACAGCAGTCCTTTTTCCAGCTGTTACCACTTCATTGATGTGGCATAAGAAAGTGCTGCTTTCCAGGCAAGAGATTTCAAACCAATACTCTAAATTTCAAAGTGCTCTCTCCTAGTCCAGGTCTTCTTTATTCTTCTTTTCATCCCTAAAGCATCTTATTTACCACAGAGGCAGGATAACCCAAGACCTGCTTTGCCCTCTAAATTCCATCTCTCCGAGCAGCAGCCGATCATTCCTTTCCACCCACTTCCACTCTCCTGGGCTGCTCCCTGCTCACCTAGTCTGGTACCAACCTGTGTGCAAACACCACGCAGTGAGCACAGACAGAAGCCTTGTATGCTACACATTGACAGCACCGTGGGTACTGTTTTCTGTCACTGGCACCTATCCTGGAGTACTATACCATTGTGCTGATGGTATTTAACAAATTAACACCACTGTGGAGGGCTCTTTGGAATACATTACTGTTGAGCAAGATGAATGTATTGCAATTCAGTGTTTACTTGCAAGTAAATTGAATTGACTATGTTTCTTCAAGAGTGCAGAGAGATACTCATTCCTGACATGGGAGTACAGAATCGGAGCCAGCAATCAATTAGATAGAAGCAGGATTTAAAAAATAAAAAAAGAAAAATGCAGGGGGAATTGATACAGTAATACAGAAATTCAGTTATATGGACAGTGAAACTTCACCTGTGCTACTAGCAACCAAACCAAGCACATCTAGAACTGTCCCCAGCTATCAGCTGTTCAGAGTATGTGGAGCTCATATTCTGTCATCACTGAGAACAGTTCTGCTGTTTACAGAACTACACTAGTTCATAATCGCAATGAGAATTCTACCTAAAATGGAATTGATAAACTCTCAAGTATCAAGACTAATGCTTAAGACAGAACATGGTATCTTTTATCATCAAAGTAATTCACAAACAGAAAAACTGAGGCACTGAAAAGTCTCTGATTGTCTTCTCGAACCACGTTATAACTCAGTCGCAATGTTCAGTGTAGTCAATAGACTGCTGTGTTTAGTATCACATAAACCAATTCTAGGTGATTTCAATCATGGTGTATGTAACAATTTTTCTAATGTAGATCAATACTAACAATGTTTCCTTCGTGCTCTATATTCTGATTAGTGAAACAAAGGCTGTATCAAAGTCAAGCCAAAGCTCTGGAGCACTAGTTCCAAACCCTACATTTATTTTACTACACAGTGCCTTGGGTCTCATGTAATTGGCAATGCTTCCATTTTTTTTTTCTTACCTTACTTTTTAGGAGTTCTCCTAAGGTTTGATTAGCTTCTTTAAGGGAATTGTTTAGCTCTTTATTTGACTTCAAATGCTCAATTTCCAACTTTTGTGAGCTGATAAAGTACTCCAGCGAAGTCATCTTATCTTGACAGGCCTCAATTTCTACTTCATTCTAGAGAAAGAAAATGTGCTTAATTACTATAATACTAAAAAGGACCTTGAGTTGTACTTCAAAGATGTATTTTTAAATTCCACAGGAATTCCACAGCAAATTTGCTTGGTGTGTTATGAGGAGTTTAAAACAGAAAGAGCAATTTGTCTCACGTATATATTCTGAATATTAGAATCTTGCTGCTAAAAAGTCTGCCATTAGAAAGCCCTTCTATTTTACTATAGCTTGCTCTTAAATTTAATTTATATTCGTAAGAAGGAAAATTACTGAGAAATAATTATAGTAAATTGTTTGCCTGTATCCTACTAGCCTCAAGTACATATTTCATAGATAGATATTTTTGCAGGAAAGATGATGGCTCTTTGTATGCAGCATGTCTGACAAAAGCATTTCCAACAAATTTGCCCTTATATCCTAAAGTGGTTAATCTTTCTTCCCCATTCGTATCAAAACAACCTTTTCCTGGAGTAAAACTTAATGATTACTGAATTCCAAGGTAAATTCGGAACTCTTCACTGCTTGCTATATGGAAAAAACCTAATTTAACACTTACTGGGTTCCAAGGTAAGTATAGAGAGTTTGAAAATATCGTTAGCAAAACCAATTTCTTTTGCAATAGGATGAGCAAAATTTTGTAAAATACATTGTTTTATTACGAACTCACAGTACCATTCTTCCCATTTTCTGATTTATCTTTCTGTTTGCTTCTGTCAGAGCATCCCGATGGTCTTTCTCTGCTTGAAGTAGTCTGTCTTTGTATTCTGATATTTCTCTTTTCATTTCACTTTCTTTTTCTTGTAGTTCTTTCTGGACCATCTCCAAACTCTTGGTCAGTTCATTTTTTTTCTGACATAGTTAGATGCAGCTGAATCTGTAAAAAGTAAGTATTTAGAATTTTCTCAATGGAGACACAGTTGATTCATTCAACTATTTGACTTTACTTCTGAAATGCCTTTGAATTTCCAAAAACAACTTGGTAAAAAAAAAAAAGTATTTCACAATGGCACAACACACTGCAATCAAAGAATGGAACATCTGAACACAAAATGCAGGACAGGAGGCAAAGGAGGATCTTCTAAAAAGAGACATCATGATCTGAAGGGTATGTTGAGTGTAAGTTTGCCAACAGTGTTAAATCAAGCAGCACTGCCAAAAATCAAAGCTTAACCTCTCCAAACATTGCTCCCTCGCAGAGTGACTTGAAAGGTTAAGCGTCACTTTCCTCACCCTCTTTAACATGACAAAACTTTCTAAGTGTTTTCATTTCGATCCACCTTTATAACTGTACTTTGGGGAGAGCTGGATTGTATTTCCATAGAGGATTTCTGAAAGCTGAAGAAATCTCTTTTCTTTTCCCACTCGAAATCCTCAACACCACAACAGAAACAAGCCCCTGGTCATAAAATTTTGTAAATAATGTTAGTAGGTCAAAAGACCACTCAAGCTGGTTTAAATACATAATATTGCTCACAAAAAAAGACCTATAGTCACCTAGATAGTAAAACAGCCTCTAAGAATGAAGTATGAACAAATTAGAAATAAAGACTCTAAAACTCTTTCTTCCTTGACTTTGTCCTGAAAGTACTTTAACACTACTGAAACACTGAAAGAACTTTAGTAATAAAACAGACTTGAGAAAGGCTACATTTTTTTATCTAACATTCTCAGTCTGATGACTGAACGTTTGTAGTAGAAACAGTTTCTTAGCACTGAAAGATTTCTACGTATCCACCTGTGGCCTTTACGCCAAGAAAACATATTTTTTATCTCAGAAGAGAAAATGAAATTGTTGGAAATTTGGAAGCAAGAACCTCTGTACACATTTACTGTACTTGAGCATCTGGCCTTGAACACAGAAATACTACACACAGAGTAACTAACTTTGTTCTTTTCTGAATGTTCCTGAATAAGTTGTATTTCTTCAGCAAGCTTGTTTCTTTCTGTGGTAAATTCTGCCTGTAATTTGGAAATCTTCTGTTCAGTATCACTTAGCTGGACTTGCAGCTCAGTATGTCCTTCTGTCAGTTCATTTACCTGAAATTAAATTTTCCATAATTATTTTTAATATTAGTGTCATGACCTCCAAAGAATTTTCTAATATGCAACAAGCAGTTTTTAAGATTTTATTCCGATAGCTGGTCCAACTCCAAGCAAGAGTCACAACACACTAATGCTGTTTCCACATGGCAAGTGTCCAATTGTTGTTTCACTTTCTTTTGAGCTCCCAAAGTACTTATTCTTGATATAAAAACACACTCACCCAATATTAATTTGTCTTTCCTCTTTTTCTTCTACAGCAAAGAAGAAACTATGCTGCATTATTGAATTAAACTTCTATGCCTACTTTCAAGCAACCTTCCCATTCATCCTACACAAAACAACGTCATGCTTTCCAGCTCTGTAACTTCAACTGAAGCTCATGATTGCATTGAAAACAATTTTAAAAATAGGATGCTCATTGTAAAAGTCTGAGGTTAAAGCTATTTTAAGATATAATTTATTAAGGAAGTGGTAAGCCCGGAGGACACTTTATCCTCATTCCTAAAAAGGGAACTCTGTATTACCTTTTATATAAAGTGCTATTTTCACAAAGTGTAAATTCCAGTTCCTTCTCAAGGTCTTTATAAGACACTTTTAGAATACTCAGAATATCCGGAAAGGTTTCATTATCAGAAAAATGTTGCTCCTTCAGATTCAACTCAGCAATCAAATTCTGCAGACTTTTTTTTTCCTGCTGCCAACATTCATGCTCATATTCCATGTGTGTCAGCTGTAAAGACAGCTCCTCTGTTTCTTTCACCTGCTTTTGCAGAGCACCATTCTGTTGCATGTTTTCATCGAGTTTTTGTTTGCAATCCATCAATTCTTGAACAAGTACCTCCCTTGTTTGATCCAATTTGACATTTTCATCTTTTATTTCCTGACATTCCTGTAATAGTAGTTTTTTATCTTGCTCAAGGTGAACAACCTGATTAATCAAGGCTTGCTCTTTTGCTCTAGCATCTGCCTCCTTCCTGCAAGAAAACTCTAATTTCTCACGTAAATCTTTGAGCTCAGATTTCAGCAATACCACAGTATTTTCAAACTCATCCTTGATTTGCATCTTTTCTTCCTCCTTTTCTTCTAACAGTTTTGCTGTAGTCAAATTCGAAGACTCAAGTTCAAGGATTCTTTCTTGCTTTTCTTTTAAATCTTTAGCCAAACACTCTTTTTGTGAGGTGAGGACATCAATTTGTGAGTTAAAACATTTCAGCTTTTCAGCCATCTCTTCCATCTCCATTGTTAATGTTTCCGCCTCTGCTTTAGCAGTCTCCGAATGAAGAATTGCATCTTCTAGATTTTTCTCCGACATCTCCAATTCTCTTTCAAGCCTCTGTATTTTATCCAGAAGAGAGTCAGCTTTCCATTCACTGTGTTTCAGCTTTTCAGCGACATGGCGTTTTTTCTTCTCATCTGATTCAATTTTTACTTTCAGCTTCTCAATGCCATATCGCATTTGGTCTACTTCTTTCTGTGCTGAGCGGAGTCTAGCAGCAAGTTCACCTTTTTGCATTAACATGCCTTCCAAATATCTAGAAAGGTTTAATTTTTCAGTTTCTGATGAACTTAATTTACTCTGCATCATTTCCAATTCTCTTACAAGCAGCTCTTTCTCCTTGTTCAAATCTGCTGCTTTGTTGTGGAGTTGTTCTTTTTCTAAGGTGAAAGACATGGCATCCTTCTCCAAACTTTGCAACTTCTGCAGAAGGTGATCTTTTTCATTTGATAATTGATTTACATCAGATTTTGCAGCTTCGAGCAGATTTGTTTGTGTCCTCACTTCTAATGAATTCTGTAGAATCCAACGTAGTTGACTCTAGCTCTTTTAATTTCTCTTGTAGCTTCTGATACTTCTGATACAGTTCTTTTTTATTTTCAGACAAAACACTCAGTTCTTGGCCAATACAGTTTCTCTCAGCTGTGACTGAAAAAAAGGTGCTCTTGAAAGCTAGAAACAGTTTTCGGGTTAACTTCCCTCTCCCTTTCCAATTGCTGACATTTTGCCTGAAGCATTTCAAGATCATTCTCTGTGAACAAGGCATGGTTCTCAATATTAACTTGCTCAGACTTGGGCCTCCTCTGTTCATTCTCAGCTGCAAGAAATTGTTCATCACAACCTCTCTCGGCCATTTCTACATCATCCAATGTGTCTGCTGCATTAGATAATCTAACTTTATATATCTCCAGCTCAGATTTGACCTTCCCAGGTTCTTTTTCTAATGACACTACTCCAGGAGATAATTGCTGCTTATTGACAGAGACTGAATCCAGTTTTTCCTTTATGTCACAGTTTTATTCCTTAACAACTACAGTAGCTTCCTTCAGTTCTGCAAAAGATGGGCTCTTTCAGAGTTAAATGTGCATTCTTTAAGTTCACCTCTGAGTTTAATTGCTCGACTTTCATTAGTAAATCAATGTGTTTATGGCTTTCTTCTGTCTCACAGATCATATTCAAATTTTCAGCAGTTTGTTGTTTTGCCTCCTCCTGAAGCATTTCAGTGGTTATTTGATTTTCAAAGAAATCCCCTGCCCTCAAAAACATACAACTATTGGAAAATGACAATGCACTGGCATGGTTTGAAGGGCTGGTTAGTTTTCCTGATGTATTTCTACACTCGTGTTCTCCAGAAATCTCAGTATAATCTTCCATCAATCTTGCTTCAGCAGTCTCAGTTACATTTTTACACACAGAGGTGTCTCCTACAGACATTTTCTCAACAGGGGTTGGTTTAGATTTATTGCTTTTCAATGCTGAGTTTGCAATAGGCAATTGCAAATTGTTTTCTTCTTCAGTGTTCTGCAAGGGTTAAGAATCAAACCATTAAAAAAAGGAATAGAAGAATAATCTATAAGATAAAAACAAGGTGAGTTTTAAAAGTTTTCTTAAACTAGTAAAGTTTATGCAAAATAAACAGATAGCATCGTTCTCCACTTAAGAATCTGTTTTCTTAACGAAAGGATTTACACAAACGCATCTTTGGCCAAAAGGTTTTAAAGACACTGAGGGAGAAATTTCAGCCAAATTTACTGAAAGTGCCAAGATATCACCTGCCTCCATATTTTGGGAAAATAGGTGTCTATGTGACAAAGTGAAAAATTATTAACACCACTACCGGGGGAAAGGTTTACTGCTCACCTTCTATTAGACACTAGAGAAACTTCAAGGGACACAAGTCCAAATCCTCAAACAATCCCTTTTCCAAATTACCCCTGTGTCAGAGCTGGGCTTACATTTGGCACCACCTGATGCTCTGATTTGAAATAATAAAACCAAGAAACTTAAAAACTTCAGGACTCCAAAAAAGAACTGGGTCTGAAGGCAGGACCTGAATGATTTGTACTGAGTGCTTCATCTTAAAAAAAGCTCCTGCTATGTATGGTAAGGAACAGTATTTCTTTCTCCAAGTGTCTGTGTATCAGTGTGGATGCTCTACATGAATTGCAAGCAACACATACAAGTGAAAGAGTTTCTTCTCTGCAAGGAACAGTTGCTCAGTGTTGCCCAGTTGGCCAAAATGTAGAGCTTCAAGATGCTCTGACTGTGAGAGCAGTGCTAAACTTTAATTCCTGAGTCTATGTTTACTGAGCACTGGAGGCCACTTGCACAGGACTTAATGTTCCAAACTGATACTCTCACTAGCAGAAAATATACCCGTTAGATTTCATTTTAAGGTGAATTAGTCTAACACACTGTATGCAAGAATTAAACTGGTTTTCCTCCAGTCTGAATGAAGCTTTGATTCTGCCTCTCCTTACAAGGATCAGCAAAACCTAGTTCACTAGTTGCATGCCACCTACAGTGCTGTAAAAAAAGACAGACCTGACCATCAATTGTTTTGTTTCCAGGTTGCTAGTATTTTGAAGCAATTCAGGCTGAAATTAAAATTAACTGTTCTGCTACCAGCTCATTCTGTACTGTTGACAGAACTGAAAGGAATTAGAGATATGAAAGCAGTCCTAGTTTTCTTGTCCCATGAAGGGGACATGGGAAGTGTGTGCATCTTCAACTAACTGTATCAAATCAGAGATTGAAGCTTGGAAGCATAGTACAGATGCATTCAGTGCATGCACAGCCACTAACTGGGCAGGATCCACACGTACACAGACCTAAAGAAAACCCAAGAAAGTAGTGCAAAATAATACACAACTAACACCTTTTTAGCATTTTGTGTTTTCTTGGCTTTTATTTGTCTGTTATTCAGCTATGCCAAAGGGTTCAGGTAGAACAGGCTTGGGTGAGAAGTCTTTGGCTCCTGTGAAGTTTACAAGCAGAAGCCACATTCTTAGCAAATTTTAGCAAATTCTTACTGCAGAACTTTGCATGCTAAATCAGAAACTTGGTAACTACACTGTTAACAGACCCTCACAAACTATTAACTTAAAAAAAAAAACCAGCAATTAAGCCACTGAGTAGAAAAGGGGGGGAAAAAAAAAAAGCTGTCAGAACAGAATAAACTTGTGGGTTTTGTCGTCATTTGTAATTTCTCATGATCCTTGTGATGCATAAACTGGTACCCAAGGTACACTCTATTTTTCTACTTTCTCTAAAGAACAGTACCACTTCTGTGGGACACAATTTTAAACACATTTAATTTCAAAACATAAATTTGGCTTACCATAAATCAAAGGGTTTACATAAAACTGATTTGCATTACAGCAATTACTTACATTTTCGATATCTGTGCACAGCAATGAATAAGAACTTAAATCAAGGACTTGGAGTTGGAATCTTGCACTTAAAAAAAAAAACGATAGATTCGCAGTTTTTCTTTCTGCTGCCAGTTTGCACTCCATCTCCCTAGTCAGGTTATTCAGTTTCTGCTGCCATTCTTCCTTGTCAGAGAGATTTTGCTGTTTAAGATGATCTATTTCTTTTCTTTCAGAAAGTATAACTTTCTTCAGCTCTTGTATTTCCTCATTTTTCATATTCTCTTGAATGTCAAATTGGTCTTCCAGCACCTTAATGGCCTTCTCATATGTCTGACACAGCATCTGAAGTTCTTCAATTCTACTCTCAAGGTTAGATTTGCTTGCAAAAACTTCAAGCTCAGTTTTGATTTTTTTCAGTTCTTAATTCAATCTACTCTCAAGGTTAGATTTGCTTGCAAAACCTCAAGCTCTATTTTGATTTTTTTCAGTTCTTAATTCAACACGTTGTCTTTCCTCCGCGAGATTTCTGGACATTTCAGAAATTACATCTTCTCTTTCCTTTAAACTATTAGAAATATTTTTATTTGCTTCCAGTAAAGTTATTCGTTCTTGCTCTAAAGTTCTGCTTAAATCCCTAAGGGTTGTATTTTCTTCAGTAAGTTCCTCAATTTTTTTGCTATATGAGCAAAACATTGAAGCCATGTTCTTCTCTGAATCCCATGTTCCAGACAGGAGCTTCAACTGTCTTACTGAATCCTCAAACAATTTATTATTGTTCTTTAAATCCTGAAGCTCAGCTTGTCGGATTTCTACTCTTTCATTCAGAGTTTGCAGTTGCATGTCCTTATCCTCAAGAATAGCTAAAGTTTTTTCAACTAGTTTCTGACGTGCTGAAATATCCGCTTCCAAGTTACTAATGTGCTGTTTAGTTTCTGCCACAAAGCTTTCATGCATCTGTTCTACATTAAATAATCTTCCTTCTGTTTCACCCTTTATTTGTGGCAAGTCTTCATACTGCTGATGCTGATCAGAATGCAGCTGCTTTTGAGCCACTACAGAAATCTCAAGAGAAGAGACCTGATCTTGCAGAATGGCCAGATCCTTAGTTTTTCCTGCTTCTACAAGCAGACGTGCTCTTGTACATCTGTGATCCTCGGCAATGGAGTTATTTCCAGCAAGCTGTATATTACCTAAAACAGTTTTATCCTGACCTGTGGGAAACCTTTTTAGAAGAAAAATACTTATGTTTATGAGAACCTTCTTAGAAGAAAAATACTTACATTTGTAAGAATCTTCTTAGGAGAAAAATACTCATGTTTGTCAGAACCTTTTTTAGAAGAAGGTCCTCATGTAGCTGATTTCTACTACAGGAGAAAATAACACCTGCAAGGGATGAGAAAGAAAGCAATAGTACAGGATGTGAGATAAGGAGGAACTGAAGGTAAACAATCAGCATGAGTAGGTAATGTTAAGGGTCCCGTTCCCAGGACCAAAGTTAGCCAATGTAACTTTGTCTTTAGGATTTTAAAATCATTGTATCCAATTAGTAATTGCCATATTTGCAGGAGCTCTATATAAAAGTGTGTAATCGAGGCATAATAAATGGTGGCTACAGCATGATCATATTGGTCTGCGTCTGAGTCCCTACCAGCGGCACTGACCACTTTGTAAATTAACTTTTCCATCTTCTGTCATTTCTGAAGTATCTTTTGCTTTTACAAGACCACAGATTTTTTCATATTCACCAAGCAGGTCATGGTAATATTGCTCTCTTTGGAATCCTTCACCTGCTGATAAATGTAACTTTTCTTTTAGTTCACCAACTTGGTTGTCAAGCTGGAATATTTTACAGGACGTATTTTCTATCTCTTTAAAGTACTTTTTAACAGAACATTCTGCTTTCTGCTGAAGTTCATCAAAAGCTTTTTTTTGTTCTTCTAATTCTGCACTTTTACATTGCAGCATGTCTTTAAATTCTCTAATCTCTGCACTTTTCCTGTCACTTTCAGTTTCCATCACTCTAAGTTTCTCACTATACTCATTATTTTTAATTTTCTGACTTTGAAGGGCACTCTCCAAGCCATTAATACGAGTCAGCATAACTTCCTTTTCAGACCTCAGTTTATTTATAAGATTATAATTTTCATTTTTCCATTGAGAAAACGCAGTAGCCTCTTTTTGCAATTCTTCACATTCTCTCTGCTTGAATCCAATGAGCTTCTGCAAAGCTTCTGATTCTTCCTCCATTTTACTTATTTTGCAGTTTTGTTCTTTAATATGATTTTCTTTTTCCTTGAGCAGGTCTTGGGTAGAATCTTGTTTCTTCTCCATGTCAGCTAAAGCTATTTTCAGCCTCTCCAGTGAAAGGGAGCTCTCTTGCTTTTTACATTTCTCTTCCAGTAACTTCAGCTGTGCTTCCTGACAAGTATTTTTATCTGTAAAAGAAAATACCATCACATCTTCACCAGTCAATACTGGCAATTCTACTGAAATTCTCTAATGCAATGAAAAGCTTGGTCATTAATTTTAAGGAGAACAGAATCAAATTCAAAAGCCTCATTTTGAAATCTTACATGAAGTCTGATTGATGCACAGAAACGAGTAGAGATCTATCCCCTTTTTTTTTTTTGTCAGATCCACCATAATTACAAAGTATATTTCAACCCAGTTCCTGAAAAACAAAGACTGAAAGCAAGACTCAACTATTGGTAGTTAGGTAACATTTTTCTACTTTTTTTGTTTTTCAAACTTCGTGGAACACATAAAAGAATTACAAAACAGAAGTTTTCTGGTTTAAATAGATTCTGTGACATTTGGTTTGCTGATAAATTCAGTACACTTTGATTAATTTCAAAATTGTGTATCTTCAGGAACTGTATAAGTTCACAGACAAAAATTCATTTCCTTTTATGGCAAACTTAATTTGGTTAAAAACAATAATCATATCACACAGTGGAAACCTTTTTGCTTAATTCACAATGAAACTTGCAGGATTGCAGGAAACACATCATTAAACTTGTAACAGGCGTTCTGCAAATTTAAATACGTAACTCACTTTTCATCTCTTCTGCAAAATTCTGGCTCTGCTTTAGAGACTGCTTGATCATATTTAGTTCTTCTTCAAGTTGGTGGATCTCTTGCATTTTTTTTCAAGTTGACAGTCACAAAGGTTTTTCTCCTGCTTCACTTCCTAAAACAAAACCAAACACGACCATATTTCATGTGAATTGCCAGAAAGATCAAAAAATGCCATTTATTTAAAGCTAAAGAAAGATATTCTATTAGGTCCTATTAAGTTTACTATGCCAAAGCAAGAAAGGAAACAAATCCCTGCAATGGCATCAAAACTAACAAGAAATTTAAAGGTCAGATTTCACCCATCATCTCATGTAGACACAAGTTCTCTTTCCACATCATGGCAAAGCTGGTCAAGTGTCATTTAGAAGTGTTTACTCTTTCAGAGGGTTGTCTTGCCACTAAGAGTATTTTCTTCCAATAAATTGAGTTTAAAAAAAAAAAAAAACAAATGCCAAAACAAAACCCAAACAAAACTCTGTAACTATATTGCATCTAGGAAGCCAAACAAAAGTTCTTTTAAGGAAACGAATCCTTTTTCTCCAAACTCCTGTGCTGCTGGACAGCAGATGGCATGCAACTGGCATGGCCCAACTGGAAACAGGCCGTCAGTTATTCATCTGTTTACTACTAGCAGATGGGCAGCAACTCACAAAAAGCCAAGCTCAAGAGATGGAAAGGTCTGGATAAAAAGAAAATAAAAGCTTGCTGGCATGGCAGGCTTGTTTTTGGAACAACATAAATAAATCACTCTCAGAACATGATTAAAATTGTCCCTGTCACTACCAGTTACCTTCCCTTCTACTCATAGCCTTTCCTACCCACAATCAAAAGAAAAAAAAAATGCAGTCACATGTAAGTTTCAATGAAGAAAGTTTTCTAGTAATCTTAACAGTATTTTTTCAAAGAACTGCAAGTGTCCAAACTTCTTGCATTCAAAGCACCATATGCAGATGCAATACAAGTACACAAACGAAACAAGCCTGTTCATTAGAAAATCTAGGGTGACCTATGGAGAGAAAAATGAACAAGTTTGAGGAATAAAAATGGCTGAAAGGTCTAATTTTTTTTTATTTGGTGCAAAGATTCCAAATAAGCAGCACTCAGCAAAACCTAGGAACCCATAATTTAATGGACTAAGTATCTGATGGTAACTAGCCATTTACATTTTCCAAAGCTATAAGCAAAAGAATCAATTTGGTTTCAATCCAGTTATGGATTCCACTTGTACGTTGTTTTACTCTGGTTAGCCATTCTGCAATTGTCCCTTGAAGAAGCAAAAGCCAAACCAAAGCAAACTCCAGAACAGGTGTACTATTATTCTGGAGAAACTCTTCATGGGGCAGGCTTACGAGCCATTCAGGGACTAAGTGACCATTTTTTCCAAGAATAGTTATCAGCTTGCTTGCACCATCAAAATATAAATCATACGCTAAGATGCCAGAACTGCTAAGCTATTGAGATATCACCAGTGCAAAGCTTGAAGTCCTTGGAATAAGGACTGTCCAGTATATTTGACAAGCGTATCTGTTTTGCAACTTTTTTGGAACACCAATCGTATGATACAGTAAGGACCAAACACAGCAGGGGATTAACCAGGGGAAAATAACTGTATTCTCCACTGGGTAGCTAGGTGCTTAGCATAATACTGCAACAATTTCGGTTGAATAAAGGAAAAGAAATGCCAGTCTCACCCTCGTTTTCTTTTGCTATGAACAAAATCTGTCAACAAAGCCTCCAATACTTTGAAACAATTCTTTCTTTCTCATACGCAAGTCTCAGAATAGAGAACTGTAGTGTTACTGATCTCTTCAAATATTACAGTCTTCCCCAGATTAAGCTTCTTTATAAATTCATTGGTCATGTTCTAACCCACCATCACTGTCACCAGCTGTTCAACTGTCTGACCAAGATACACAAATATGAAGAAAGAATCTGAATATAGTTACAGACTAGTAAAATGGATGCAAGACTGGTAAATGAAATTAAGCACTCCCAAGAATTTGCACCAAAAAAAAAAAAAAGTGTTTCCACAAATTAGACGCTCTCTGACAATGGGATCTCAAAAAACTGTATCAAATCTAACTTCACTCCATAACTGTAATTGTAATCTACCAGCACGAATGTACCTAAAGTTTCACAATATACTAAAGCTGTACCAACGTTTGTGCTGATGTGAACAGAACCAACTATTTTACTTAAAATTTGTTCATAGAATTTTGACAGGTAATTTTTTGGCAGAAATTATGCCAGATTATTTTACATCTGCTCATGATGATGGGCAACAAGCAAAATAAGAGCATTTAAATAAAACAAACTGTGACATGGATTATGTAGGATTATTGAGTTCTTTCTTTTTTAGTTCCAGTTCTCCAAATAAAGAATAAAATTTGCATCAATAGGTCTTGAGTGGCACAACTGTAACAATTTCAACTGATATAAAATATCTACTCTATATAAAACGTATCTGCCCTAATTGCCACCAAATCAAAACAACATAACTGAGAAGACAAAGGAGACAAAGTGAAAAGGTTTCTGCATGTGTGAATATAAGGTAGTATGGCAGCATCCAAAGACTTCTCTGAATTTATTTTCATTTCGGGAAAGTTATTACAGAAGTGCATATTTGTTGGACTGTTTCTTCTAAGAAAAATGTAGTCAATGATTCTAGAACTTACTTTTAAAATCAGACAAGCATGAATATATTTTTATTTCAGGACCAAAGCAAAAATCTCTTGAAACAAAAACCTATTTTTGATAAAAGATAAGTCCAACATGAACTAGAACCGTATCAGCAGCATTACAGCAATTAATCCTAACCGCGCAGCCAATTTCACAAATTTCATTCACCTAAATGATATTAGTTAAGACCTCATTTTGTGTTACAAGTGAAGATAAGTTATTAAGATAATCTAGAGAAGCATTTAAAGATTGCTTATGGGAAAATACTCTGAGTAAATGCTCAACACTATTAGTGTTTATAGATTTATTTATGCTGTTAATTCTATCAACTACTCCTCTGCATTGGTTACCTCCAACCTTCTTATCAAATCAGTTTCTGTAGCCTGAGCTGCTAGTAAAGCCTGCTCTGCTCTGCACAGCTTCTGGGTGAGATCACTGGTATCACATTCCAAGTGTTGTTTCACTGACATTACCTATAAGAATGTTGAAAATCAATATGAGATTCACAGGCATATAACTTTAAAAAAAAAAACCCAAAACCTCACATACCTGAACTCCAACATTCTATTACAAAATAAAACTACATTATTTTCTCCCACCATGAACCTGCAGTTGCTTTTCTGTGGTTTAAAAATAGCTACTTATTGCCTTTCCACTCTTTTGCCTCTGTCCAGAAAGATGGTATGTCTCTAAAATACATATATTTCTAGACTGTCTGAAATCATATTAATACATCCAATTTGCAGCTACATCACCACAATGATATCTGTAGGATAAAAATGAGTTTGGGAATGTAATAGTCTTTTTGCTAAGCTAGAAGAATCAGAAAGTTAGGCTCATAACTGCACTTATTGCTCCATTGACAGATTTTACAAAAACCAAACAGGTTTTAGTTCTTTCAAAATAGTCCTATAATGCTCCAGATTCAAAAGGAAGAAAATGCCATTATCAAGTCAAAAAAGGGAAGAAAGTCTATTCTGAGGTCATTAGGTAATAAATTAACTTTCTTGGAGAAAGAACTAAAAGGCACATCTTCTTCTCTATATGAAATCAATTTCTTCAGTAAGCATATACCAAATAACACGCATATAAAGAACCCCCCACTGCAAATATTTGACTGAATGTATTGCCATTTCTAAAATGAAACAAGCCTGCAAGAAAGCTGTTGTCAGTTTTAGAAATGCTGTTTCAGTTCAGCCTGCCTGCTAATGGGGCTTCTCAATATAACTCTCAAACACTTGTGGCCCTTTTTAGAAATTCAGTTAGCTCTGCTACTTTATAGCTGCTTTCAAGAGTTTTTTGAGGCTTTCAAACATCCCTCTTTTCTGCTCACCCTCTCTTTAGGCTTATGCTGCTTTCCAACTTTGTCAAATTATGGTTTTGTGAAAACTAATGTGTTCTAATAGTTACTTGCTGCCAAAGCTGTGGAAGACCTGATTCACAGTTACATTCCTCCTTAACACAAGCCCTGACACTCATCTGATTTTGTGGAGAACCAGATCAGGGAGTTCAACTGATAGCAAACACTTGTGGCCGTGTACACATATGCTAATTTATACAGAATTTTTCCTTTAGTTCTTTTAGCTCCTGTGTCAGCTCTCTGCAGGGTCATATGAGGGGTAGCACTGCTAAAAAAGAAGCACCAGGAGCGCATGGCCAGGTTGTGTGAAACAGGGCTGCTGTTCCAAAGGGCAACTCCCCATTGAACAGTTTAGCTCCCTCATCAAACTGCACCTCTGCACATTTTCTATGTAAGGTGTCTCTTGTGATCAGCCTTAGCTGCTCCTCTCTGTTCTGCATTCACCTCTCCTTCCCTGTGGGAAGTGGACTAGCCCCAGACTTTTTAAAAGCCTGTAATTCACTTTAAAATACTTAGAATTCCAGTGAGAAATGGTAAATACAAAACAGCTAGTACAAACATTAATACAAGTCCCCACATGAATTCTTTTTTGCTTTCTGTATAATTAAGACAACTAAATACCAGCTCTCATAGAAGATTTTAATATAAAAAAGCCTACTTTGTCAAATTCTGCCTGCAGAGCATTGAAGTCATTTTTGGCTTGCTGTAGCTCCTGATTCAGTTTGTTTCGTATCTGGTTGCACGTCTGATCCAGTGTTTGTAGGGAACGTTGCTGACAAGACAGTTCCTAGAAAACAGTGGTACAATAGTAAATATTGAAATAAACACATGACTGCTACAAGTCTCTATTTTGGTTACTGGAGTGATAACAACTAATTTTCATTAGCAGATATTGCCTGCTCAGAGACACTTCTCTTACACGGTGAACCACAGGTTAAAAACAACTTCGACAGATGCTGTAAACGTCACATGGGCAAGAACGGCCCCAACCCAATTTATGTCATCTGCTTAAAAAACACTACAGCAACATTCCTATCACAGAAAGGGAAAAAAAAAAATCTATAACTAGTGAAAGTAATGGTATTAAGATTCTTCATCTTAAAGATAAGTTTCATATAAGAATTACATTACACTACAAGTGGACAAATTAATCTCTGCTATTATTTACTCACTATACTATGCGGCTGATATTTTTTTCTAGGAAAATTTGTTAAAAGTCTCAAAATAATACCTAGCATGGAACTGAGCCAGAAGATAATCTTACAAGGGCAGTCATGAAAGCTACAAAAAACAGTGTTCCCAAAACAGACTTCCTGAAGTCTGTAGGAGGACAATCTAGTTTGTGTGGATCTTAAAACACGCCAAGTAGGCATCCATTAGGATTAACAGCTGTACTTGTCATTTCTCAAAGCCTGTTCCTATGCCTTTGGACCTTATAATTATGACTCTGCACAGATTTCAGAGGTTTGTTAGGATGTGAAACAATCAGAAGCATGAGGGCAATAAAAAGCAATGAATAAAAAACCAAGAAATTTATCAGCAATAATTGCTGTGCAAAAGAAAGGAAAGATGTGACACCAGCTGGCTGTCACAGTAGCTGACACTAGTAACTATGCTGAGTAAAGTGTATATTATCTGCAAAGTCCTCTTCTGCAAACCTCTGGTCATGAGCATTTCCTAAGCTCGTGCAAGGAGGCCCCTTTGACCCTACTGCACTCCTTATTAATGAAATAATTAAGTCAATGTCTTTATTACCCAAAGCATCCAATGATGATTTCTAAAGCTGATGGACTGAAATGACTGCTTTCTAAGCCCTACGTGTCACAGTATAAGAGGAAAACTGCAGAAAACTTTTCTTTCTTTAGATGAATGCCTGAAACAGAACTGCTTCCTCTAGTTTTCGATGTCAAAAAATTAGTTGTGCACATCTAAGCTGAAAGTGTAGGTTCCTTCCACTGCCAGCAGGCAAACACCCAGCTCCAGAGTGAAGACCCACACTTCTCAGGTCTTTCTGAAAGTTCGTGAAACCATTACAGGAGTTGTGGGAAATACCAGTTTTCCAATATACTTAAGTAGTATGTAGAAACTTGCTGACAAAGATGGATAAAAATTATTATACCCTGAGAAGATACACACAGAAACATCTTTTTTCCTATCCTGTAGATGAATCAAAGTAGCAGAAAAAAAAGTAAAAAGATAGATAGAAATATGAAGATTCAGTTAATTATTATGTGTGTGCACTACTTTCAAATTTGTCAAATGCTGCACAAAAGGACTTTAGGAAGGTCATACAACTTGACTAATCAAGAAGGAGAGAAAACTTCTTGTTATCTTTTGCAGTTTGTATTCAAATATTTTAAACACTGGCATTTTCTTCACATGATTATGAGCAAAACTCTGAACCATTTTACATTTTTATATGCATGCCTTTAAATACACTCTAAATTCTTGACTAAGCAAATTGCACTATCCTCTTGGTTTTTTACTATGGATGTAAACTCTGTAGGATTAGGTCATGAAATCCCATTTAGAAACTACAGACATTCTCAATTTTGCATAACATTTTTACACAGATTTTATTTTACCCAAGCAATTTACTATGGCCCAACACCACCCTGTAGCATAAGCAACAAATACTGATTTTTCAGCCAAAGTTGCATGAGAGAGTCCCTCTAAGGTCAGAACTTGCCACCAGATGTCATTGTTGCTCTATGTAACTTTATCAGAAAATATTTTTCAGAATTCCAGTCAATCTTGCCTGAGGATGAAAAAATATTTCTTCAGGTGGTTTAAGGACCTTCCAGGAAATGGGCAACTGCTTACCAGTATTTACATTTTTACAGGTAATACATATCAAGTTAACATATACTTCTCAAACCTTGATCCTCAGCAATCCTAAAGAAACTTATCTGAGAACCATGGTTCGTACTAAAGCAGCTGAAAACTGACACATATTAATACTGGGAATGCATTGTAAGAACAGTCAGATACGTGACGAAACACTTTACCTGTGTGGTAGCTTGATCAAGTTGCATTCTTATTTGAGTCAGTTTATCTCTGGTTTTGTTCAGAACTTTATCCTTCTGTGTTAATTCCAACTTCATTCTCTCCAGTTGCAGTTCAGTCTCTTGATGTTTATTCATATGGGATTTCTTCTCTTTTTCTTGAGTTTGCAGTTGTTGTTCTAGGTCTTTAACAGTGGAATTTAACTCTGAATTTTAAAAACAGTAAAGATAAAGGATACCTTCTGCTTTGAAAGGTACATCTTCCAGGCACTCAAATTTCCAAGTGTCTAAATAGTCTAAAATATTTCATATGTTTGATAACAACTGAAGTTCCTGACACAGGCAGACACCCCATAAAATGTTCAGCAAGCTAAAACCAAAACTTTCAACTCCCTTCTACTACTACATCAATAACAGCCTATCAAGACCAAAAGGTAGTTGACACTAAATCAATTATTTCTGCTTCGTAATCTACGAGAACACAGCAAAACATGAGGTCAGGCACAAATGCTGCAAAGGAAAAGGTAATTTGTTCCTCTGCTGTTTTGCTTTTTGTTTGTTTTTGTTGTTGCTTTTAAACACAGAGAAACATTTTACTTGACATAGCTATTTTAGCTTTTTTTCTTTTTAAAAGGAAAGATATCCTCTACAAACACTTGTTTGGGGCAGCTGTGAGCCCTCTGCTTCAAAGAGGCCTTTCAGTTATTGGACATCTGTAAATACAGGATTTTATATCTGAATCTTTTTCCTGCCCCAAAGCAGCATACATATAAAGCAAATCCAAGTGATCTTGTCACAATGTACATTAGTAAGAGTTTACCTTCCAAAATCACAACCTAATTTTACAGTAGAAAACACTAGTCAGCTACCAGGAGTGTTATCCTAGATTACTATTATCTGGTAATCCTTTTTATAGGAAAAAAAAAAAAAAAAAAAAGTGTATTCCTGATGCTGCATTTATATGGCTTCCAAGTTGAAAATGCTGCCTAGATGGAATTGTTACATGTAGGTATCTGAATAAACAATTTGAGAGTACAGGAACTTGTAAAACAGTCCTGCAAGAAAAGGTTGGTGGAAAAGCTGGTCCAAACAGTACGCTTAAGTAAATGTTCACCAAATCCACAACAAACCACTTGCTCTCTTCTGATTTTTTTGAATGCCAATATGCGCAACACAAGATATTTTGCTTTTTCATTGCACTTTGGGCATCATACTTCATTCTGTGCTCCCAGTAACATCCATTATGGACCAACTCAGTTATGCATTAAGAATGATCAGCCAATGAATTTTTAACACAGGTATTGCTCAGTCATAAATCTCGAGACTCATAAAATTAAGGAAGCAATACAACTGAATTTAACAGTGAGATGTCATAAAACCCTGAAGAGTTTTTAAACTCTTTAAGATAATTGTTCCGTGAGCAATGGAATTACTGTAGAAGGACATTTTGCTTTTTTACGATGTCCCCTACCCACCCCAAAAATACCAATTCCTCCCTTCTAACTCTCACAGCCTTATGTAAAAGATACCACAGCTTGTGGATAATCTCCATGTACTGGCCCATCATTGCAAATACACACACACCAGCAGCCAGCTGGGCTAGCTGCCAAAGGCAACAACAGGTATCTTTCTCTTCTCCTCACTAAAGCACTAATTTCAATGCCTCTCTTCTATCTACACACCAGCTTTCATGAAACCATATCGGAGACTGCCTCTGGGTTTTAAAGAAATGCATCATATACCTTGGTTCTGTGCTCTTAGCTGGATCATGAGTGAAGAACCACAATTCTCAGCAAAGCTGTTGTCAAACTCGTTCTTTTCTGATATTACACTAGAATTGGCTTCTTTTTCCCATGGAAAAGAGGATGTTGCAGAACTTCCCCTTGCAGGTGTTTCTTGATTTCTAGATGGTGTTTTTTCTTGTTGCCATGAAAACACAGATGAGGAGGCCTGATGCCGAGCGATCTCCCTGTGACTCAAAGAGCTTTGAGGCTGAGGCTGATTTATTTTCTGTGTCCAAGAAAAAAAAAAAAATCTACCTTTACACAGCTCACTATCCAACATATAATAAAATAACTGATTTATTAATAAGTAGATAATAGGTCATGGTCATTTCACATTTTTATAACACAACATCATCCACCAGTACAAACTACTATTTATAGTTATTTTTGATACTACATAAATTAAATTCCATTAACTCAAGTATCCGAGATAGCTTCCAAACACAAACCAGGATCTCCAAAAAAGTAGTTCAACCTGTGTAAGTAACATACCCAGATTTTTGTCTTTTTCAAGAGAGATCCCATCATTTACCTCCTACATTTTTCAAAATCGAAGCCTACATTTTTAAAGGCAAGTGTTGACACAAGTAAACTGCAAGAAATATAGAAGTCTAGACTAACATATCTGATATCTGAGCCACATTTAGTTCTTCTAGACAATCAGGTAAACTCTGAACAGATTTAAACTTAGACTAACATATCTGATATCTGAGCCACAATTAGTTCTTCTAGACAATTAGGTAAACTCTGAACAGATTTAAACGTATACACACAGAACACCCCAAAACTGCAAAAGTAAAATATGCCAGGTACCAGCTTTCAACCTCTTCCTACAGAAAAGCTAAATAGAGCCAAAACACTACGTGGTTTTTTCTCCCTAAGTGCAAAGAACCAAACCAAAACAAAACAAAAAACCCCACCACCACCAAAAACCACAAACTCTAAAGCCCCTATTGTATTTTTAACTGGATTTTCAAATACCCCTCATTTGAGTTTTTACTTTTTTCAAACTTAAGCCAGGTAATACCCCATCTGACTTTCGGTCCAACCAGAGAATATGTTGCTATACAGGAATAGCTGTGGTAAGACCAGAAATCTCTATAGTCCAGAATACTGTCTCCAACCTTGTGAAATAACTTGGGTTATAGAAAGAGCATAAAAACCTAATCATGCATATCGTAATCATTCCCCTTATATGCCATTTCAATTTATAGAGTTTGAGACAAAACTTTTAATCCAGGAAATTAAGGGGAGTTAATAATTTTCACTGAAATACTTTACATGAACTTTCTTTCAGATCTGTTTGCATTTTGGCCTTTTTACAATACTCTGTGACAAAGCGTTGTGCCATTTAACACAGTACAGCGTAATAAAATATTTTTTGTTCAGAGCCTGCAGATCTGGTACTGTAATTATGCCTCATGAAAAATACAAAAATGACCATTTCCTGTTTCCTCTCTTGGTCCTCACTCATCTTTGTACCATCCACTTCTACCATATCTGTTTGGAGAGGAGATGAACAGAATTTGCAGGGAATACTCAAGATGTGAGAGCCATTTGCCTACATACGGGCAAAGAATATTTTCTCATTAGTTCTTAATTTCTTTCCTAAAAAAATATTTTTCATCATTGCTGAACACAATATTGACGTTTTCAGAGAAGTAGCCACAGTAATTACTGAATTGCTTCCTGGAATAATTTCATTAAATTTGGAGCCTGAATGTACTGGGTATGCATTGTCCAAGTTATATTTATTTCCCAGATGCTTTACTTCACTCTTTTTTTTTTTTACACTGAATTTTACTTACCATCTTAATTACTGCAATTATTTAGTATTACAAAGTACTGTGTGGTTTTCAACGACCTTATCCAACTCTTTTTCAGCTCACTAATGAATATGCTGAATAGCATAGTTCTCTACCAATCCTTTTCAGGCACCACTGTTGATCATTTTCCAGATGTAAAAACTGACCATTTATTCCAAGCTGTAAATCTTTAAATTTAGAAGAACTCCCTCTTATCAAAATTGCCTAGTTTTTGCAGAGTTTTGTGGATGTCCAAAAACATTATACTGAATCACACTTAACTCACACATTCTCTGATTTATTTTTAACAAGCCCCAAAACCCTGAAAATACGTGCAACATGATTTCTCTTTACAAATAAATGGTTGATCTTTTCTCCACACACCATACCTACATATGCATCAAGAAACACACTGCTTTAAGTTTCTAACAATTTGTCCAGGACAAAAATTTGGCCTGACTAAATTACATATCTAAGAATAAGTACTGTAAGCCTTTTTTTAAAAAAAAATTACATCATCCTTGTCACCTCCCAGCATCAAGAATGAAATAATCACATCACAGTGATTCAGCAGTTCACACACACTGCAGTGCCCTTTCTATTAATGGGTAAATAGTATCTGTATCTAGTCTGGTTTTTTTGTTACTATTCATTTTATGAATCTATTTTAAGACTACTTTGACTTTTGAGCCAGTGCCACAGACTCAACCCCAATAAAGAAAGGCTCTGATACAGAAAACTTTTCAAGCCCTTAGATAGTTAACATCAAATAAAAAACAATTTCATCTTTTCTGCAATGGCCCATTTTTCCTTGGGGGCTTTCATATTCTGGTCATCTACCAGCCTCAGAGATTCCCCAATACAGTTCCTACTACTTAGGTGTTTGAAAAATTGATGAGTTTTTATTTGCTAGGCAAGTTATTTCTCATAATCTTTTCAAGGCTATTTTATTATCCCATCATATTTAACTTGGCACAACCGACAGCGTTTTCTCTTGTCCTTGCTTGCATGAGACTTCCAGTTTTTGAAGGATGTGTTCTCGTCTTTAGTGTCCTTCTTTCCTTTGCTATTCAATTATGCTCGCTTTTCTGCCTTCTCCAAGATTACTTCTGAATGCCAGTACACACAGGTTGTCTTTTTTTTTAAATTATACTTTAAGTGATGCAGACTATGTTTCACTAGTATTCCACTCCATTTTCCAAGTTCACTCAGTTGTTACTTTCTTAAATATCTCATATACCATTCTCAAGATATACTTACCTTAACCTGGATGGTTCTCAGTTCTAATTCCAGCTTTTTTCTTTCTTGTACTTCTTCTTGTATTTTTCTTCTAATTCTTCAAACTTAGCATCTACAAAGACATGATGAATATTTCTTCATAATCTAACTTAGTACATAAGTCAGCTTTTTCTAGCCTATTGCTGTCACAGGAATGATGAAAATGAACAGCTATCAGAAGCGTCAGATCATAAGGAAGACACAAGTTTATGTACAATATGTTCAGCAATTTAGGACCTCAAAAGAACACTGGTGGGATATCTGGAGCTTGACATTAGAATGAAAACACAACTGTTAAAAGTAAGGATCCAATGCCAGGAGTTTATTGTTTTTAAAAATTTATCTCTCTCTCTAGGAAATGTGTATATATATACACATTAAAAAATACATAACATAGATGTGTTACATTATATATACACATACATACTTTTTTTTTCCTTAAGTTTTCCTACCAGCAGCCCAAGGGCATTACTATTTCTAAGAAATCACCAGAAAATAACACTGGAACTTTTCCTCAATTTCCTTTCAAATGCAATAGTAATTGGACAAATAATTTATTTAGCATTCTTCCACTGAAATTGTAGAGGAGCATATTAGTCCAAAACAAAAGTCTTGCTTCCCTTTTCTAGAATTTGTTTATAATTCTGCAACTCTCTCAAGAAAATTCTAGAGCTAGAATGCTTTGGCAGCATTCTAGGGAGGAGTTGAGGGAGGTGATTGTCCCACTCTCCACCGCACCTCACATACTGTATGCACTTTTGGGCACCTCAGTGTAAGAAGGATAGCAAACTATTTGAGTGTGTCCAGAGGAGGGAGACCAAGACAGTGAAAGCTCTCAAGGGCAAGACTTAGGAGGAGCCGCTGAAGTCACTTGGGGAAGAGAAGGCTGAGGGGTGACCTTATCTCAGTCTACAGCTTTCTCAAGAGGGAGCAGTGGAGAGGGAGCTGCTGATCTCCTCTCCCTGGTGACCAGCAATAGGACAGGAGGAAATGGAAAGACGCTGCACTGGGGAAGTTCAGACTGAACATTAGGAAAAGGTTCTTCACTGAGAGGCTGGTCAGTCACTAGAACGGGCTGCCCAGGGAAGTGGTCACAGCATCAAGCCTGTGAGAGTTCAAGGAGTGTCTGGATGATGCTCTTAGTCATATGATTTAGTTTTAGGTAGTCCTGCAAGGAGCAGGACTTGATGATCTTTAGGGGTCCCTTCCAACTTGAGATATTCTGATTCTATGATCTTAAAGAATTTAAGACTCCAGCTTTCAATGGAAAAAACTCTCCCAGAAATACTGTTTTAAATACAGTTATTTAAAAAATTTAATCTAATGTCCATTTCAGGAGTGCCATGCTTAGTGGAGTGCTTGACATTGCCACTACTGTACCCCTTTTCAGATATGTATAAAGAAACCAAAAGGAACATGAGTGCAAGAAAGTATCTCAGATTTCCCACTGGAGTAAGATGGAGATGCCAAACTCACAGAATATCGGTTCATAGCAAAGAACGAGGTAAACAGCACTCACTAACATTAAGCCCATCAAAGTTTTTCTGCATAGGCAGCATAAGGGTGTCCGGCTACAGAACAAGTTCTCTAGTTAAGGAAACTTCCTTTCACTTTTCCAGTTCATTCAAATATTTTACATCTAATTGATGTCACTAATTTGAAGATAGAAATGATGCTTTGAAGTGGACACAGTGCATAAATTGTGCAGGTTATTATGCATAATAATAGCCCCCCCCAAAAAATTCTAAAGAAATAATACATGACTGTTGACTGAACTTTGGCTAAAGCACCTGTGGTACACGAAGGAAGAAATTTGCTCTTCTTTACATGAAGGGAAGAGCTGACACTAGGAACAGGCATTCAAAAAAACTGCTGCAGTCTGTTGGTGGATATTCCTACTACTACTCCATGTCCATCAACGTAGTGCTGAAAAGATGTAATCTTTGCATTAAGCGTTCAATCTGCACAAATATGTTTTAAACTTGGAACCTAAGGTTCTATGAATTAGACACTCTCATAATAAGCTATGAAATAGGGACTAGGCAACTCATTACAAGTGCAATATACAAAATACTCCTCCACCTTCCAAGAAAACTGACAGTTAACTGTCTGTGCTAGATGAAGAAAAACTCATTTACCATTATGACTTTGAACTGGTGTTAAAGGAGCAGTAAAACTTTTCTGTGGAGTGCCGCTGAATGCTAAGTCTCCTGCGATCAATGTTTGCTGGCTTCTCTCAAGCTCACATTTGTATCTGTTTAGGAAAGAAGCAGCAGCAAAAATTAGTAATGGAAAATAAACGGTTAATTATTTTTAAGAGCCTAAAACACACAAATAAGTTATATGATTCTAAGAACTTAGTTTAAAGATCAAGTCAAGATACATCTACTGAAAATTTTTAGGTACTATAATACAGTAATAAGAAGAACATTTTATTTAGAGTTTCAACATAGTTAATTACATAGGAGTCAAAGCTAAAAAATAAAAAAAAACCAAAAACCCGAAGTAGATTACAATCAGTTAGAACTGCTTAATATATCACTGTGTGAAGCAGTAGTCCCGCTAAATACACCCAACTCACTGTAAACATCAATAATCTAAAACTCTTACTCTTCAGCAAGCATTTTTATGGCAGGAAACATACTACTTTTATTCTATGTTCTGATACTGCACACTTTGGGAAACCTATGCATACCTCATGAAAATGGAAGGGAATACCCTCCACCCGACGGTGCATTTTTCACGTTTACCACTTACATTGCTACCCAAAACACCACAGCAGACTACTCATTCCAGTGATTTTTGTGATCACGAAGAGTTACATACTCACAATGCAAGTTGCCGCATAACCTCTAAACTAGTTATCTGGTTTCATCCTGCCCCAGGAGCACAGGCTGATAAGACAACGGTTCCAGGCTGCAGCCCATCACACAGTGCTGCCGGGTCCTGCACTTTGGTCAC